CATACAGAGGCGTAGCAATGGGGGGGGGGGCAGGGGGGGACAGATGTCCCCGGGCGCAAGCTAGTTAAGGGCGCCAAAATGTGCTTTGATATTATATTATTGGTAAAAATAATGGGTTTGAGGTTTGAAAAAAGAAAAGGGGGCACTTTAAATTGGATCTTGTCCCCAGGTGCCAACCACCCAGAGGCGTAGCAATGGGGGGGGGGGCAGGGGGGGACAGATGTCCCCGGGCGCAAGCTAGTTAAGGGCGCCAAAATGTGCTTTGATATTATATTATTGGTAAAAATAATGGGTTTGAGGGTTGAAAAAAGAAAAGGGGGCACTTTAAAATGGATCTTGTCCCCAGGTGCCAAACACCCTCGCTACGCCTCTGGCCCCATAGTAAACTACATCTTTTACTTTTCATACCTGTTTCTGCCCCATCCATAGATGGCCCCAGACTTAGATAAAACAAAACTGTGGTATCCTCCAGCTGCTACTTGGGCCACAGGTAAGCCGCTTATTGAGGTAACCCAATTTGGAGTGTTTAGATTCAAACCTTTATTTGATCCCAACCCCAGCTGGCCATAAGAATTGGAGCCCCATACACCAACACAGCCCTCTGAAGTTAAACAAAACAAAGATGTGTTACCAATAATTTTTACACATTTCTTTTAGTATATATATATATATATATATATATATATATATATATATATTCGCAAGAATTCAACATAAAATATATATATTTATTATAAAAACAAAAAAAAAAATAAAAAAAACACAGCCCTCTGAAGATAAACAAAAAAAAGATGTGTTACCAATAATTTTTACACATTTCTTTTAGTATATATATATATATATATATATATATATATATATATATTGGCAAGCATTCAACATGACATAAATATATTTATTATAAAAACAAAAAAACAAATTAAAAAAGCTGAATCAGTGAATGTGTATGGGAAGTATCTGAAAAACAGAGCCTACTAACCGTTTGTGAGTACCAAAGTATGGTCACTGCCACAGGCCACTTGAAGTACACGGGTTACAGCAAGAGACTTTACCAACCTAAAATGAAAATGTGACAACAGTATAAAACGGAATCTTGTTTATTTAAACTCAAATTAATGTTATCAGAAAAACACATTTATTATTTTGAATTTTAAAGATTTCATTTATCACAGAATTGCTGGCTAGTTTATTCAACAATGTGCTTGCATTTTAAGGTCTCTATTATCCTAAGGCAGCCTAAGGCAAGGAGTCTCAAGTCCCATTTAAAATCTGGACCAGGGTCGAGCAACCTGTGGACCACCGACCACATGCGACCCATTTAAATGTTTAATATAGCCTGCAAGATTTTCTGGGAACATGATTAATGTTTTCATGAAAGGTACACATTGCCGAATGATTATAGGGCTTAATATGTAAAAAAAATATGTGAAAATTAATAATTGTGTTTTAGATTTGTCTTTTGTAACAATAACAATCACAGCATATTTGAAAGAAATGTCCATTCATCATTTTCGAGCAGAACTGGTAGTGAATTTCGAAGATCTTGTTTAAAGATGTAATTTAAAATAAATCAAGTCCACTGCTTTCATAGGGTTGGAATATAACTGCTAAAATTAGTAGCACTGTGTTTCCAAGCTCCCTTCCTGTTCAGTAGCAATATCATTCTCATTGTCAGAATTATTGAAATTATTGGCTCAATATGAGTTTTGTTTTGTATTCTTTTTTAAATGCATTATTATTTAATGTTACGAAAATAATTTCAGTTATTTACAATAATGAGAAAAAAGTTTGAAATAGAAATAAGTCGGGCTAAATTGAAAAAGATAAAAACTGAAGATGAATGTTAGACCTTTGACAAAGATTGGACATCTAAGTTTTTTCTGTGTTTTTTGTTGTGTGTGTGCATTATATTACAACCAAGGGTGTGTGCTTAATATCTCAGTAGGCTTAGGCTGTTTTCCAAAATGTTATCTATGACTAAATTTTCAGGCACAGCATGGCAGTTTTGGATTTAATTTTGAATGAAATCAAATTAAAGCACAACGCTGACTTGGAGAAAAACTTTAAACAAGAACAAACAACTTTTTTCCAAGTGGTCATCTGTTCAAGAAGCCTTTACAATGGTCAGTTTATTTACTACTTTCCATATTTTTTCTTTTCGCCATGACATTCTCATATATTATCATACCAAAAAAAAAAATTTAAATGCTGCCCTTGGCTCAAAAAAGGTTTCCCACCTCTACTCAAGTCTGTGTTATAACCTTTATCCAGAAATTAAAACTTTAAGTCTTATTGCTATTTAAAATGAAAAACATTGATAAAGTAGATTACAGTACACTTGAAATTATTAACTTTAAAGACCTACCCTTGTAAATTTTTAGTAAACACATTATGCTTAGATATGTCACTTAATTATTTTTTAGACCTTTGGTGTTATATGATTTGAATAATACTTTTCATATTCTTTACATACTGTAAAATTGATTTAACCGATTATTAATGAAATATTTTATCAATGTAATATTTAAATTTTTAAAATGTGTTAGAATTTTCATCACTTCCAAATTGATATTTTTAATGCAGGCCTAATTTATGGCTTAATAGGGGAATATTTTTTATACTCACATAGGCATCCCTCTGTCTTCCTCTGAGGCATCCTCTCTCCCCAGCTGACCTTCTGTATTTTTCCCCCATGTGAGCACTTGGTGTGCTTGAGTAAGTACAACACTATGAGAAGCGCCAGTGGCCACTTGAATTACGTGATGAGATTGCAGGCCTTCGACACGTTCTAGAAAATTTTAATAAAATTAACAAATGTAATAATTAAAAAAAAAGAACTTGTTTTTTATCTTCAATGTAATAAAGTGAACACCAGGAAGAAGTCACACACATCAACAACAACAGTACAAATGTACTTTTGATGTAAACCAGTAGGTAAAACAGGTCACTCTAGGCTAGAAGAACTCCAATTTTTTAAATTTATATCATCTTATAATAGATGTTTTGATTTTGATTGTTGACTTCAGAGCCAGAAACTAAAAATGAAAAAAAGAGAAATCACTTTTGGAATGAATGGAATGATTGATCAGCAACTGAGAACAGGTTGTATTATAATAGGCAAATGCAAGCTGTAGGAAACATTGATCACATCATTGTCCTCAGGTCATCCCTAGATCAGAATCTTGAAAGCAAAGCATTGCTGCATAATGGCTTTGACAACTTCAAGAAAACTTTCGACAGCTCACATCAATAGTAACTCTGGAAGATCCTCAGACAATATGGCATTTTACCCACAAACCTGTCCATAGAATCAAATCACTCAATGAGATCTTTGAATGTAAAGCTCTTCACAGTGGCTATTTTACTGAACCACTCTCGGTAGAAACTGGAATAAAGCAGGAACGCATGAGTGGCCATCTCAATGACCATTGATTGGTTCCTGCTGCAGTAAACACTAAAAGTGTGAGCAAGGGTCCACTGAAAGACCTGACAGAGTTATAGTACCTAGGGAGCAAGGGTAACAAATGGTGATGGTTGTGACTAGGAAACAAACAGACGAACTACTAATGAAATTCAGGCATTTGTAGCGTTCACATCCATGACCTGATTGAGCAACTGAGTGTTTAAAACAAGTCCATAATATTTTAATTATTGTTTTGAACATTCATCTCTACTAATCAGATGGATAGCACACGACTTAAACATTAGTTAGAAAGAAAGTCTTGAAGTTTTTTTTTCTGAACATGACAATGTTCCTAAGAAAGATCCCAAGAATTATCTAACCAAAAAAACAAAATCAAAAACTGAGATGCAGATTGGGTTTGACAACGGTCACACAAACCATGCACTACACATTTCCGGAGGTTTATGGTCATATTTGTGGAATGCCATGCCAGAAGCTTAATTTCCAGTGGTAATTAAACCACGGAGGACCCGAAAAAAACCTGGGAACAGAAACATTAAATTCAGTGGTTGCTAAATTCAAGCATCAGTTGGCCTGTGAGAAATCAATGAATGAATGAGTGGAATGTTGACAAAGAATATGTTAAATTTAAAATTGATATTTTTAAGTATTACCTAAAGAAGTAAAAATATCACGTTGTGCAAACAAAGACTTAGTGAACTTGGTCAGTTAGTCAAAGACTAAGTAGTAGTGCTAAAAGCTAGACACATAAGCCTAAGAGTAAGAGTGTAATAGAAAGCGGGAAACGCCATTAAAATAGCTAAAACTTTTTTTTCAAATAATTTCATAAACAATTCAATATGGATTCCACTGGAGAACCACTGATAAATGCAGACAATAGGTGCCATGACGTATCACATGGCCGCCAACTTGGTTGCTACGACCTGTGAACTTTTACAATTCACTGTAACTGTCACTAGAATCCCTATACCTAACCCGAACCCTAGATTATGTATCCCTAATGAAGTCATGGCACCAATTCTCTGCATTAGCCGATCGACCTTTAATTTAAAGTTATATCATTTTTAAAATTGATTTTATGCTAAATATAAATAAGAATTCACATTTTATTTCATATAGTCTGAGCTTCTTTCAACTTAACAATTTAAAAAAAAATGCACATCATAGCCCATCTCAGTCTCAGCAGTATAAAAGGAGATCAGCTTTATTTATTCTCCCCCCTGAATTAGGACCAATAAATCTGTAGGCCTTAATTTCAATAATTTAAAGAGGCCGTCAATAAGTACATTAAGCTATTTTGGAAACATTTAACCACCCCCCCCCAGTCACAAATCTCATACACCGCCACCCCCACCTCTCCCAAATAAAAATGAGTCATCTCCAGGCAATTTAAAAAAAAAAAAAAAAATATAATTTATAATTTAAACATATATAAAGTGGGACGTCAAAACAAATCTTTATCCCCCCCCCCCCGTCACAAACTGTCACAATTTCTTAGGTTCCCCTCTCCACAGCCTCACCCCGGAGCGTGACGTATGTAATGGACGGCCCATAAGCAATATTCTTTCTAACATAACTAAATCTTACCAAGTTGTGAAAGGCTGCCCTCTCTCCCGCACTGTTTAAAAGCATTAGAGCCACAGCTGTAGAGAGAGCCATCATTTGCACACACCAAGGTGTGCGTTTCTCCTGTGCTAATTTTACGAATTTCTATTTTTTCCATTGAATGAACATTTTGAGGGCCTGTTTGTGTGTGTCGCTCTGTGGCACCCAGACCAAGTGCCCCTGAATTGCCCCATGCCAGAAGACGAGGCGTCATTGTTCTGAAATTGCTCTTACCGTAATGCAACCGGATTTCAAGTTTTGTATATGATAGATTATTTTAACTTAATAGTCCTTTAAAAAGAATTCACACCTGCAATAATCTTAATTAACAGAATTAGTGGGTTTTTTTTAAACGTATATTAATTTAAATCTATAGTGTTCTCTAGTCTATGTAGGCTACACAAAAAAAATAAAAAATATTGATTAATACAAGACTACAAGTTCAAGTAAAAATGCGTTTTAAATAACACGCTCGAAAAAAACTAAACACATTTTTTTTCTTTTTAATTCCAAAAAGAAATAAATACATATATTTTTAATTGTCTAGGCCTAGCGGTTTCATGTTGAACATTAAACAATGGACCAGCACTCAAAATCATACTGTAATAGACATAGTGTCATAGTCATCATAATCATAGTCATAGTCATAGTAAGCCAAACTACAATTAATTATATTATATAATATAATACAATCTTCCATGGTCCATGGAAAGTACGGTGATTATTGTCTATCTTGATTTATACTTTTTTCAAAGATAGATGAATAATAATAATGAATGGCATAATAGATCATTAAAATATTTATATTAGTTAGTAAGTAGTATATATCATAATTATGTAGACTCAGACTGTACTGTAGTACTGTAGCTTAACACTTAACGGCTTAACTCAAATTAACTGGTTAACTTTTAACTAACAATTTATATTCACATAATTAGATAATTTGTTGCTCAATTACACTATGCCACTTGATTTTCCACTTCAACTCAAGAGAAGAATCCTGAAAAATGTCTAACTTGTATGTAAATTAAGTAATCTGTTACTGGACATTCATAGTAAATTAGGGAATTTTTTTAACACAATTTTCTGTAACCGAAAGTGAAAGACTTTCTGCCGTCATTTTCGGGAATATCCTATTAAAATAGGCTTATCGTAAGGGGGTTTCCCAGGAGAATATAATTTCCCCCACTTGTTTTTTTTTTTTTTTTAATCTAGAGAAACAAAAATAGATTCTAAAGAACGACACTCGTAGCTGTTGTGGTAACAAATGTAGCTACGTCGTTGTTGTAGGTAAATACATTCTTTAAATATGGTGTCCTTTAATAATTAGTTAAATAAAAGAAAAAAAAATTGAAGGAATTTATTTACTTATTAATTATTAGTTAAATTAAACACGATGTTGCTATTATTGATATTGGATACAAATGACGACACTTGCTGGACCTATCATTACGTTATTTTACTAAGAATTAATGAAAAGCCATAATTTGTTACATTTTATTAGTTACATCCCTTTAACGAATGAGATCCTAGCTGATTTGATAAGGGATCGTTATCAAATTACGTCTCGCTCATGCCCATGGGCATGGGGAGGGGGTGGGGGGGTGACGAGAATTTGTAACACTTTGTGACATGGGGAGGGGAGTTCAAAGATTTGTGACATCACAATATTTTTTTTTTTAATGTGTTTAATCTAGCATTTTATAAGGTTGAAAAATATGTATTCAATTAATTTGAAAAACATTAATTTGAGGGCGAAACTGCCTCAGGTATTAAAGGTAACGGGAAACTCAGTCGCGCACATCTTTTGCGCAAAAAGAGTTGCAGCCATTTTACATTCGGCGCGGGGATGACTGCTTTGTTTCGCGTCACAGATTTCTAATAATACTACATCTTAATCCATTATCATTATGGGAAAATGCTAAAGAATAAAACAAAATCATAGTTTAGTTATGAAAATTTTATGTATGTATTTATTTTTTTTAGGTGTGACGTGACACTGGGAGGGGGGGGGGGTAAAAGAATTTGTGACAGTGGGGAGGGGGTCTAAAAAAGGTAATTTTTTGCATGACGTAATTCGCGAACGACCCTAAGGTAAAAAAGATTTTTAAAAAGGTAACTGCCCACCGGCCATAGTCATAGTGCACGTATCATTATTAGTGGACATATTTATACTATCTTTTTTTAAAACATCTATATATCAAGAATCAGAAGATAATAGAAACAAAATGTTATCACCTAGTAATAGTCATCCCTTAGTACTAGTCATCTCCTAGTACTAATCATCCCCTAGCACTAGTTACTAGGGGAACCTGTCGCTGCCATGATCTACTACAGTCTATATTGCTGGTACATGATAGTGTCCTAGATTCAAACACCGGGGAAAGTGTCCATAATTCACACTTTTTAAAATATATATTTTTTTTAAACTCTCGGCTCCACTCTGCAACCCCACCCCAAAAAATAATTTAAAATTAATGATACATGTAGATCTAATAATAATATTCTTGATCTGCACAAGTCAGCACGGCGATTTAAAACAATATTGTGAACCATCTAGAGGGCATAAGCCTGTAGATTAAGAGAGAGAGAGAGAGAGAGAGAGAGAGAGAGAGAGAGAGAACGGTGGGACTATTAAATCACACAATGTTATTTCAAGGACAGTGTTAACCAAAATTTCTTCGTATTCTTATATTCTTCTTATATTTGAGGGGTTCACGATCAATTTGTTGATCATTCTGGCTCCTGGTTTGAATTAAGAGTTTGTCTTCTCGTAGATGTGTTGCCGTCAAGGCTAACGACTTCCATCCACCCGGGGATTGAACTCCAGACCACCAGCTATTTGGTTTGAGACAGTTTAGACCGCTCGGCCTCCCATGCCCCACCTACTCACCTAAAACGACTTCAACCCCCCCCCCTTTTTTTACGCTTTCAAATAGAAGCCCGCCCATACTTTCAATTTGGTCGGTTGGGGGGGGGGCAGAAATCGAGGGAGTCGAATTTTAAGGGTCTGTTCATATAGGGCGTCCACACAAAAAAGCTAATTTTTATCCACCCCATCCGCATGTGCCCCCCCCCCACGGTGGGGAGGGGTGCGGACGTCTGCAGGTGCCCCCGAAAGTTTACAGTGCAAAATGTCAGGAATAACAATTATTGTGAGCAAAGTGTCACTAGATTTAAAATCTAAATCCCTATGATGGGGGTCCATGCATTGATTACGTACGCACTGCTGGTGGGGGGGGGGTGTTTGTTTTGGAGATTGGGCTTGCTGGTGGGTAGGGCGGAGTGTGGTCTGCAGAAAGAAATTACATTTAATAACTGTGGTGAAATTCAGACGCTCTCTAATATCTCTCATAAGGCCAACGGCCATCTAAAAATCTGTGAAATCCATTATATTTAATTATTTTTTTTTAAATGTTACGTCTTAAAATAAATCACATCAATGTCGATCTGTACGTATTGTCATACTGCTGCTTTGCGTTTACACACTCGATACATATCACAAAAGTAATAACTATTGTTACGTCATGCTGTGCCTGCGACGTCATTTGTGACGTATTCATTTTGTTGGACTGAACCAAACTGCTGACCTGGTGGAAAAAGCTGACGGGACACAGAACCCAGATTTGAACACGCTTATAGCAGTGCTTCTCAAGCTTTTTACAGTGACTTACAGAAGATTGAAACTGAATTTTGCCGCCACGTAAGGCTTTAAGGTTTACTGCCATAGGATAAAACTAGCAAAAAAATAAGTATGTAACCCAATACATGTCTATGATGTGTTGTATCAAAATGACAAAAGCATGATTTCTATTATCCCAGAGCTTTAGCATAGCAAGAGTTAGTGCCCCATAATTTAGCCACCCAATTTCACGAAAAATATGTAGTAGGCTGAAAAAGCCACCCTCTATTTAAAGAAAGAAACGTGCTGCTAAAAAAAGGGGGTGGGTGGGGTAGCTTCTCCCAAATAGAATAGTGATTGTGGAACACACAGCAATGGGCCTAAACAAAAGCTAGCTTGCGGAGCCCTCAAGATTCTTCCCCCCCCCCCTTTTTTTTTAAGAACACCACCCCACCCCACCCCACCTCACCAGCTCTGCGAATGTCCATGGATGACCCCCTAATGGGCTCGAGGGGAACGAAGCTCAGACCTTGAGGGCCCTAAGTACCAAACCTTAAATCATTGCCAACTTAGCTAAGACAACAAAGCCATAATATAATATAGTTTTTTTTGTTTTGCTTTTTTTGAGGTGCATAGATTAAAATACGATTTCCTTAATTTCAGCCAACTTTCAAAGATGTAGCTTTCATAGAAGCAATTCAACTGTTAACAAAATTAGCAACAGCAGAGCTGAGATCGTTATGAATACAATTGATATTTATTTACACATTTTTAATTCTTATATTTTAAATAATAAACAATGTGATACTGTTAATTGGAAAAAAGCATACATTTATATTTCGAAAATATCTCTGAATTCATTCAATATCATGGATGGCTATCAGTGAACATGTATTTATTTTGACAAAAAATAGTTAAAAATTAATGATAATAAAAATTATAATAATAATAATATTCTTGATCCTTTGGAAACACTGCAGAAGTCAGCACAGTGATTTAAAACAATATGTGAACAATCTACGGGCTTAAGCCTGTAATTAACAAAAAAAGTTTGAAATTCATCTTTTAAAACATTCTCAAACTGTATTGTAAGGGTATCTTACAGACAATGGTTACTTTTTGATCCCCCTTCAATGTTTATCTTGAGGTTCAGTGAGCTTTTACTCTATGCACAGGATAGAGTTTATTTGGAAAATAAATTAATAAACAAGATTTTGTACATTGACTACATACGGTATAAACCAAATCCACTATTTTACAAAACTGCCATGTCTTTTGCCTGTTTGGTTTTCTAAATTTTACTTTTACTCACTTCCTTTCCCTTCTTCTGAACTTAGTTTTTGTCAAGGGACTTGCGCCCAATCTTATTCTTTTCTATTATTAGGTAGAATACATGTATATCTATATTATGTAAATTTAATTCATACTTAAATGAATGTTTTTTCATTGTTGTATTGATGAAGGCATTAGCCAAAACATTTACAATTCTATTCTGTATGATCATTATTAAAGCTGAATATTATTTTTTTATTTACACAAATTGTTTGTGTCTAATTAATCTAATTCAAAGCTTTATCACAGTCCAACACTGTTATAATTAGTTAATTTTATTTCATAATAATAAAATATTTAATATTTTAAAAATTAAAAAACCACAAGTTTGATAATTATATCTCATCTTTTCCTTTTTAACAGCAATACAATATAAGGAATAATAAAGATGAGCACTCAATAAATGTTTAAAACTTAAATTTTTGAAAAAAAAAAATAAACCTGACAACTTAAGCTTAAGCATAAATATACATTTATCAAAAAATTATTTAAGAAAATAAATAATTGTTAAAAGAAATGGTTAGTCTGAAAAAAAAAAATAACAGATGTTTTTTTAATGTTAAAACTTTAATAAAAATGGTGTAGTTGCAGATATAAGTTCATACAGATGACTTTAACCCCCAATTCAACACAAATGACAGTCTATTGTTGAAAGTATACAACAAAAAATATTTTAACTAAAGCAGTTTAGTTTTTTCATACATATTTAACTTATTGACTTATTATTCCTGACTCAATGAGAGGACAAGAACCAAATTTCATTAATTTTGGTTAATGTCAGTATTTGCCTGGCTACACATGTTTCTATTCACTTGCTAAATATCCCTTTGTTTTATATCTTAAACCAAAAATAAAATATTTAAAAAAGAAAATAAGAAGAGAAAAAAAAGGGTTGTGGGGGGGGGGGGGGGGGGGGGGGGGAAAAGAAAAAAAAAAAAAATGAACAGTAAAAATTAATGATTTCTAACATAACATATGTTTTACTAAAAGACAATAAATGGATTTATAAATAGAAACGCAGCAGCTCCTCAGTGACAGATTTGTGGTTGACATTAAGGAAAA